TCCATTTAATTTAAAATTGTTTTATTAGTATTTCTCATTTCCAAGTATATACTTCATGTGTGATTAAATTTAGTTCAGCTCTTAGCATTTCACTCCACTGCAGGCATATCTAATCATTTTAAATTGTTATCTAATCTAATTGCTTTGCATGAATTCGATAGAAACGAGATTGCATAGAATTACGATTAAGTTCAATTGAATTACATGGAATTACATGCAATATATAACGGTATATGTATATACATTTATATGAATGTATGCATATGTATATGTATGCATATGTATATAAGTACATAAATGTATGTATGTCATCTTATTAATTTTCCACATTTTGTTTATATATATTCTATATATGCAATTACTCTCAAACTGTCGAGTGAGATTGAAATGCAATCAGCCATGAAAATTACAGTTCCTGTCAAATATAGATATATGTATGTACGTATATACATATATATATACACATGTGGGTGTGTGTGAGCGCATGTGCGTGTGTTTAATATGGAAATTAACTTTTTTATAATCGAAAATTGTCATTATCGTTGTTAGAAAGATATCTTGTACTATATTTATGTGTATATATATGAATATAATTATATATACATACCCATATATGTATAATTTATATGTAAATATTGGAATATGCTTAGAAAGTAAGACGCCACAATATTTAATCAATGACGGCAAAATTTAAAAAAATATAAAAAAATATACAGACAATGCAACTTATACGAACCACTAGATAACAACAGACTCATATGAACTATTAAGTAGCATTAAGTGAATCAGTCGTCGATAAAATCTTAAGAGTTCATAAGTTGTTCAGTGCCAATGTTAGTCAAATGATATGGACAGTTTTGCAAAATGAACCAGTTCCAATATTAATCTACGGATGTCAATAGTTTCGTTAATGTATATGTAATACTTGAACTAGTTCATCAAAAATCAACAATTTTCTTTGTTTATTCTTAACCCGTTTTGTCTACGCCTTTGCTTTTGTTTATAGTAAAATATATTATATTAAAAAGAATGATCATTTTATCTCCCTCTCTCACATGCATATGCACACACACGTACACACTCAACACAGCTAAACGTTTTATTTATGGGAAAATGCTTTTCCACTGAGAATGGATTGTAAGTATCACTGATTGAATGACTGATTGATTGACGTCAACGTGAGTGCATACTCAACAGTTTCCAACACTGACCATCCATATGGAAATGTGAAAATTGGAAATGCAATGGAAAATGGAAAAGTCTCTTGAACGTTCGCTGTTGGAGAGGACAAGGTCAGCCATTCGCCAGGAGCAGAGCTGAGTGGAGCAGAGCAGAGCAGAGCCCACTTGCACATAGCTCGCAACTTCTCCTACTCTCAGTCTCCATCTCCTTCTCTACATCTCTTCTTCTCTCTCTCTCTCGCACTGCGCTTTGGGCTCGCCTACGCCTTGGCATTTCAGTTACTTTGGCTGCGTGGGCGTCCGCAGCTGTTGAGCTGCATAAACTGCTTTCGCTGCTCCTGCAGCTCCTGTCCCTCCAGCTCCTGCCGTTGCCATGTCCTTCAATTAGTTGACGGCACCAGCTGCGTTGCCACATGCCACATGCCTTATGCCCCATATACCCCATACCTCATATATAATATGCCCGCGCCCAGTCCCGGTATGGTCAAAAAGCTCGGCCCAATTCCTTGTTGACTGCAATTTGATAAGCACTCGACGCTAATTGCAACTTGGTATGGATACATATTTACCTATGTTGATAACCAGCTACAGATACATTTGTATCTTTATCATTGTCTTTATTACTATAGATTCGAATGAATATCTGATTCGGCTATAATTGGTGTGGGTCTCATCCAAGTCTGTGTACCGATATGCATACATATGTATACTTTCTTATCTATCTTTTAATTTAAATTATCTATCTATAAGTACCTCTATCTCTATCAATCAATCAATTTATAGATACATGACGATCTACATTGGCATATATCCATAGATACATATGTATGTATCTTTATCTATCTATCTATCTATTTATCTATCTATCTATCTTTGCTAACTGTATAGATACATTTATATCTTTTTTATATATGTATCGTCTTCAATGTCTATCTATTTATCATAGACGCTGATGCAATTTCAGTGCTCATAAAAGTCTGTTAACAAATACATTTCTTTGTTTCGTATACTCTATCCACAGATAGATAAACATGTATATATCAGTCAATAATATCAGTCAATAGATTCTTATTATATATCTAGGTCTATATACAAATATATCTAGGTTTATATACATGTAAGTATCTGTAGTCACATTTGTATTATTATATATGTATATTTCCATTTATATTTATTTACTTATCAGCTAGGTAATCTATCTTTGACTCTCTATAGAAACTTGTATGTAAAAATTACCATAAATATCTGTTCCACTTTACTGATGCTGCCTGCATTTGGATTTATTATTTTTCGAGCCACTGCCTTTCCAGGTGGCTTTTCTCTATTTCTTTCCATGCTCCAGGTTGCAACTGACGGGAAGTCGGCCGTCACAGCAGTTATATAAATAAGTATACACACGCACACAGTAGTCTAAGCATGCACATGCATACTGTATACACGTACATATGTGTGTATGTAAATGCAAGCACGATTTTTGTGTGTGTACGTGCATACAAATTTAGATTCATGTCGGCCAGACGTGTGCACTAAACTGCCGACAGGTGGCGCCAGTTAAAACTTTAGCTAATACACGAACCGGACCAGTCTAAAGCTTTTACAGTGCGTACGGCCCACGTGAATGTTAAGTAACATAGCTAAACTACTTACAGGTAAATCTTGGGCGGGCACAATTAATATAGGAACTAAATGTGGGCCGCACGCAATGCGTAAGACACCATTCACAGCATGATTGGAAAATAGCAAAATAGCCATCGGATATAATTTAGACAGAAAAGTCAGTGAATGCCGTGGGGCGTATTTGATGTTTTGAGCCCAACTGTCAAAGCCAACAGACAAATAGATAAAATGACAAATTGATAAAGCGTAGTAGCAGGTAGCAGATGGCAAGGGGCAAGCGGCAAGCGGCGGGTGGCAAGGGGCAGCTGCTATTGCATTTGTAACAGAGAAAACTGACCACATGTCAATGCAAAGCAACTTCAAAGCGTCAAAATGACGGCTGCCCGACTACACTTGGCGAAAATTGGTTGTTGAACTTGAAAATAGATTTATAGGTTTAATGAAATTAGTTAAGTAACTCTTGAAAAGTTTTTTCTTGGTGCAGTTTTAGTCCCGACTTAAGAACTCAAGTTCAACTTTTTATACCCTGTTTTTCCTTCAACATTTAATTTTGAGGTCAAGAGTTTGAGTTGCGGCTTTCGCTAAGTGTAGCTGGGGTAACTAGGGTTAGCCGCCTAGGGTCAATGGGGCGTGACAGCAGGTTAACAACTTGTAATTGCGACAATAATTTTGCATTTGCATTCGCAATTCGCATTTCTCGGTTTGCAGTTCGCAGTTCGCAGTTCGCATAACGGCAAATGTGGCGAATGCCAAACGGCGCTCGATGCGTTTAATTGAAAATTCATAAGCGAATAGTTGGTCAAAGGTTTTGCAATATTCAAATGACAATTAGATGTGCATGTGTGTGTGTGTGTGTGTGTGTGTGTGTGCCACGCCTATGCAATTGCGGCGTCCCACAAACAATGTGCGCAACATTTAATTACCGAAACGGAGAGACGTCGCGCTGTTGAGCCATGCAAAGGGCTTACCCAAAACTTCAATTGGAGTTTCAATGCACTGAGCGAAATTGCTGGCAACCACTCTAGAAGGTGTCAAAATTAGTGTTGCATAGCCTTAAATTGCATTCCATATTCTTAGTGTTAAAACAACAACTTTCGTTGATTGATCAATCTAATTGCTTGATTGATTTACTGATCAATTGAGCTGACTTGAATGAGTGTTAAATTGGACTGATTAATTAATTGTTTGATTGGCAGAGATTGAATGACTGATTGACTGAGAGATGCATTGACTAACTGATTGATTGCCAGACGGATTGAGTGAGTGTTTGGCAGTACCTTACTTATTGACTGCCTGATAAACGATGATTTATGGACTGAGAGTTGACTGACTGACAGTTATGACTGATGTACTGACTAATTGAATGATTGATTAACACGGTTTGACAGATTGATGTGCCGTCTAATATGCGGACTGAAAGACTGAATGATTTAACGACTGATTAATACAGATTGAATATAATATGCGGACTGTTAAGCTGATTGCATGATTAATTGACAATGTGATTAACTGACATGCTGACTGACTGAATGGCATATGGATTGATTGATAGAATGCTTGATTGTCTAACTGACTGTTTGATCAATGGATTAACTGCTTTGCATGCTTAAATGTATTATATACTAATTAATTGATTAACTAATTGACCGCCTGATTGATGGAATTCTAAGCGGATTTTTTTGGATGATTGATATACTAGATTCATTGGTTCATTGACTGATTGTGTGGGCCAACGGTTGATATGCATATATGTAGATGATTGATTCACTACTCTGTTGGTTGATTGATTGGGACTCATTAATAGACTGATTGACAGACTGATTGATAGACCAATTGACATATTTATGGACTCACTGATTCTCAGACTTTATGTTCGAAGTGACTGTTAGACTGTCTGAGTAGATAATTGCCTTAACGTCAATCAATCAGTCGGCCAGACATAAGGAGAATAGGCATAATAGAAAGCCGTATCATTCAAGCTACATACATATATCATTCAATAGTTGGGCATCTGAAAGTTCTCTATCAAAATAAGTTGTTCTTTCTTCGTAAACATTTATTGTATTATTGTATGAGGTAAATACAAATTCGTTGGCATTTTCTTTCAGTGTACTCTGCATTGTTTGTTGTGTGTGTCGATTAATGTGTGAATTATTCATTACTCGTCCATCTAATTACAGCCGTAAATGCAGATAGCGGGACATAAAAACTTCAAATAGACTAAACGAATGTTATCTGCGGCCCTAAGATAGCCGCAGAGATAAAGCGCGATGGAGCGCCTCGAGGCAGTCAGTCACATCTCGCAATATGGCCAAGACGCAGCGCCTCAAGAGTTTCTGCTTGCAGCTGCGCTTCAAGTCGACGCAGCTGTTCATTTTGGCCGGAGCAGTGCTGCTGGCGCTGCTGGTGTCGGTGCTCTGCATTGGGTTCACTATTCGCTTCGAGGTGCAGCACGAGGTGGCCAACGTGGCCGACGTGGACTACTGGAAGGACTGGGTGGCCATCGAGCAGAAACTGTGGTACGACAGGGGCATCGAGGAGCTGAAGCGGGCGATGCGCGTGCACTCCAGGCAGCGCCAGCCGCGCCAGGTGCTCCTGCTCATGGTGCACGGCATCGATGCACCTGCACTGGCCTCAGCGCGCTTCGTCGGCAACGATGGCAACACCAGCTCCGACTTCATCTGGGATCGGTTTTCGCATGCGGCGCGGCTGAAGAACAGCTGCAGCTACAGCTCGCCCTGTGATGCGGCGGCTGCCTTTCGCTCACTCTGGTCGGGCGTGCCTCTGTCAGCGGTGCAGCGACTGCGGAGCAACTGCAGCAGCAGCAGCAGCAGCGGAGAGTCGGAGCTGCTGAGCGTGCTGCGGCAGGCGCAGCTGGCGGGTTTTCGCACAGGATTCGTGACCAATCAACGCTTGACGGGCGCCCTGGGCTCTGCGCTCTATGCGCAGGTGACGCCGAGCGGCTGGGAATGCGATGGCCTGATGCCAGTGGGTGCCATCGAGGCGGGCTGCCAGGATGTGGCCCAGCAGCTCATCTCAAGCGCAGCGGGGCAGTCTTTCAATGTGCTGCTGGGCGGCGGGCGGCAGCTCTTCAATGCCAAGGTGCCCAGCTACGAGTGGGATCCAGTGGATGAGCTGCTGTGCCGCGCCAGAGCCGGACGCAATCTCTTGCGCGACTGGCAGACTCAGAAGCTGAAGCTCAGGCCCAGCAGACGCTTCGAGCTGCTGCAGCAAGCACATGAGCTGAGCTCCATCAATGGCAGCAGCTTGGACTATCTGCTGGGCGTCCTGGCCAATGGAGATCTGAGCGGCAACGCCCAGGCGCCCACGCTACAGCTGATGCTGCACAAGGCGCTGCAGGTGCTGCAGCGACCAGGCGTGGGCCATCTGCTGCTCGTCGAGCACTATGTCCAGCCGCAGCTGGGGGTCAGCGAGCAGCTGCAGCTGCTCAATGCAACACTGTCGGAGGTGTTGGGCCACAAGGATCGGGATCAGCTCACGCTGGTGCTGCTGACCAATGGCAACTACCTCAGCGCCAGTCGCGATGTGAGCGAGGAGACGCAGCTGGTGAGCACGCTGGAGGAGGCATTCCAGGGGCCAGAGCTGGAGCTGCAGCGGCGACTGCAGCAGATGCCATCGGAGAGTTTGCTCTTTGCACAGGGTGAGTCGAGTCCACACAGGGTGTGTGTAGACATCTACATGAATGTGGTCAATTCGTTACAGGTCCCAAGTCCGTGCTCTTCTATGGCGTGCATGATGAAACCTATCTGGCTCAGACCTTGTCCCACGCTCTGGGCATCGATGTGTTCGGCAGGCAGCTCTGAAGCTATTTATGGCAGATAAGGGAAATTACGTATGGCAGTGCAATCGGGTTCCTCTAACTGCTGCATACTCGTTTATGTTTATATTCCAGAGGCAATCAACATAAATGTATTAAATTAAAATATATTTGCTCCACTGGTATTTATTTGTTATTAAGAACTTAAAACTATTTCCAATAAATATCATAAGAAATTAAAAATATTGTTTTTAGATTTTTATGTTATTTATATATATATATATATTTTTAAATATTTAAAAAAAATTAAAAAATAAAATAGACCATTTTTTTTTTTTAATTAAATTAATTATTATTGGTTTTTATTATTCTCTGAAACCATTAAAAATGGGTTTTAAATGTTCATTAAACTATTTATTTATTTATTTTATTATTTTGTAAAAAATGTTTAAAGTAAAACAACGAATATTTTCATTTTTATTTTTTATAATATATTTTTATTATACCGTGAAAACATTGAAAATGGGTTTTTTAAATGCTCATTTATTGATTTTTATTATTTTTGGTAATATCATAAGAAGTTAAGAAAAAGAAAGCAAGGAATATATTTTGATATCTATATTATATATTTTACTATTTATTTGTATTAATTATTTCATATTTGTTTTATTTATTTAATATTCTACTATATTATACATTTATTATATTATATATATTTATTTTTAAATTTCCATTATTATTATTATTTTTTTTTATTTATTTAAAATTCTTCAGGCTCGACATTCAAAAATATTCAAAAATACTTTCTTTTCCAGACTTTTATAAGATTCCTTGCGCAGTCGTTATCCATTCCAAATGCACTTCTTATATATGTATTTATATTATTCATTCCACTCACTCCCCTTCTCCCTCCCACAAACTCCCTTTTGAATAAAAGTCATTATTTTCTTTTCTGGTATTTCGATAATATTTACTGGATTATTGAAACTTGAACTAGTAAACGTTTGATTTATAGAATTGAATTTGAAATTAAACAACAACATTGCCAGTTGATTCCGTTGGCAGCATCCAATTGAATGGGGGCGTGGCAGCGCTGGCAACTGTTGCCGGCAGCTCCAGTTGCCGATGCGCAGCTGCCGCTGCCGTTGCCGTCGATGTTGTTGTCGATGTGGCAGCAATCCGTGGCACCGGTCGCAGCACATGCGAGCTGGGTCATTTGACCGGCAGCGGCGGCAGCATCGTGTGTGCCACATTCGATAGCTGCCGCAAGTGATTCGCATGGACGTACTGGAAGGCCGAGGAGCGCTCCAGCTGCTGGCTGAGATAGAGCTCGCCCAGCGAGTAGAAACGCGGCTGAAAGGGAAAGCCGTTGAAGCGTGGCGCCGGGTTGCCATAGCTCTTGGGCGTGGCCGTCACAGTGGGATACAGTGTGTTGCAATGGGGCGGTGGGCGTGGCAGCACATAGCTCTGCGACGGCAACTGTTGCTGGTGTTGTTGCTGCTGCTGCTGATGTTGTTGTTGCTGCTGGTGTTGGTGGTGCTGGTGTTGGTGGTGCTGGTGTTGCTGCTGAAAGAATTCCATGCTCTTCAGATTATCCAGCATCTGATGCGAGGCCTGATGCTTCTTCAGATAGGCGTAGCTGCAAGGGGGCGTGGCTTGAATAGAGAACTACATTAATGTGAGCCACCTGCTTACCGGCGAAATGTTTTGCCGCATTGTGGACACGGATAGATGCCATCGCCGACATCCGCATCACATTCGCCTCCTGCTCCAGCTCCCGCTCCCGCTCCAGCTCCCGCTCCAGCCTTGTGGCCAGTCTCCGTGGCGCCGCTGCTGCTGCTGCTGCTGTTGGCGGCATCGCTGCCGCCACTCGCTGCTCGCTTCTTGCCGGACTGCATCTCCGACTTGGGCTTGTGCCAGCGGCGATGCGAAGCCAAGTTCGCTGGACAATTGAAAACCTGCAAATGCACAAATTTCCATGAGCTAACCACTGAATGTCGACAAGTTGTCAATGGCAACAGCTGAGTTGAGTCAAGTTGTCAAGTCAGTCTGTCAGTCAGTCAAGTTGAGTCTGTGCTGGGACAGAGCCTAAGGAGGATGGACGTAAGCTGAATATATGAAGTGAATAAATAGCTAAATTTGTAAATCTCATTTAAGCTGTTTTTGCAAAATAGCTATCGGAACTACACATAAATTTGCTTTCAGCTGGACTTATTAAAAGAGAGATTTTTTCCATAATTTAATTAATCTGCTTAATTTAACAGATAGTTATTATTTAAGTTGTCTTGCTCTGTCTCTTAATACTTATGCAAAATATAATTGTGAATTGCATTTATTACACTATTAATGCAAATATAGAGCTTCAAATTGCAGCTAAGACTTAACACAATTGAAAGCTCCTTTCATTATTTAAAACAAACATTAAACAAGGTTATAAAAATTGGATCTATATATGTACATAGAAATAAGCAGCTAAATATTTGATCGTAATCAACTTCCCCTTTTCCTAGAATATATTGTAGCACAATGAATATGAGTGAGAGTTCACAGCTGATTAAGCTGATATTCTTTTAGGACTTGTCAAAATAAAACACGCTTTTTCACTTTAGTACCAATTAAATCTGGGTTAAATCTCGAAACCGCTTAACACTGTGACTTTCTACAAAAGCGCAGATTTTCAAGGCTATTATTCCAATATATGTATATTAAAAATATACAGTAGAATCTGGCTACAAAATCTCAGCTTATAGCGTTCAAAAGGTTATTGCGATGCAAATTCTGGTACCCTAGGCTTATATGGTTATAGCGTCGGCCGAACATAACAACGGTCCCTTGAATGTCGCAACAGCCGGATTTTACTGTATATATATATATATATATATATATATA